AAAGAATTGTAATATTTGTGGTCTAGCCATTGGGCTAGATGATTGATAATCGTCGTATAAGTCATTTATATTACATTATTTGTAGTATGCAGTAATGATATAAAGCAATAATATGTATAGTCTCCTAATATTATAATTTGCATAAGTAGTAACATATTGAAAATGCTGTAGAATTAATACGGGTAAACTTAAGTTGACAAGTATAAAATATAAACGTTGTATCATATATACAATTTATATAACTATACATAATATTATATCGTAATTATTTTTTTTATACGTATGTACGTTCAAATAGCAAATGTAGTTGAGGAAATAATGTAGGTTTTGTTTCTTTGCGGAAATAATATTATTTGAACAATGTGATGATGATTAAGAGGAAAAGATGAAAAATGCAGAAATACGCAATATGCAGTATTGGTAATCATACCGGCAAATTGTCACAGTGAAGGGCAGACGTGCGCCCAAGAGAATAGCACGCACTTCTATCTATGTACTACACGCACAGATGTTAGTCCACTCGTTCACTCTATAGGAAAGACTCTTGTGCTTCCATCATAGGTAGTAGCACCTTTAACGGATCGATAATAGCGTGAAACGCATATTTCTTTATTGTTCGAATTTAAACATTTTAAGCACCTTCATCAGTGTCTTAAACGAAAACTAAATATTCTAGCTCAATCTATGAAAGACTCTTCGTTTGCATAAAATATGTTTGACTACACGTTCTTGCTGTTTACATTCTGTACAATTATGTTACATATAAGAAATTTCTACATTTTATCTTAGAACAATTTGGAAGGATTTATTTACTTTTTAAGTCTACGTTATTTAATAGTCCTAAATGTAGCAAAGGAAGTTTCATATCTGGTAACGTTATCAGGGTAGTGAGTTGGTGATAAAGTCATTTTATTGAATTTCTATCGAAGAGTCAATTTATCAGGCGAAAATTTTTTACGATGACGTAATATTCTATTTCGTGAATTATAGATTTTTCATTGATTTTCATTTTATTAGAACTTGTGTAGCTTTAATATTTTGGTATAAATTACACGATAAAATAATATGAAAATTAGTATCATATTATTTATACAATAAATTACAGTAACTGAGAGTCTTTTGCTAATTGTAAGAATAGTTATTCTAAGAGTAAAACTGAGTATAATAGTATTACCCAACAAATTTTAAATTTTCCTTGCGTTTCGACAACCAGTAGATGATTATTATGGAAATAATAATGGAAATGAATTCGGAGGATTCTCCCCCATCAGCCTCAGTTTTTGAAAAAGAGGCAAATTTTCAACTTTGCATACAATGATCCAACAAATTCTCTCAAATTCAGCTAGTAAACAAGTTTAAAGAATGTTTAAAGAGAACATGACGCCATTAGAATATAATTTCATTCTTGAAAGACAAAATAAAATGATAACTCTTCAAGAGACAAGATGTTGCTCACAATAGTAAATACTTTTTTCTTTTTATAACAATTACAGTCAGAATTTTCGACGGTTGTTAAAATGAATATTTAGTGAATACCAATGTATTGAAGTTACTGTTAGTATGCATAATATCGACATCTAGACGACTGTATTGCATTATGGTAAACATAAAACTATCGCTGGTGTTGAAAATCGTTGGCGGCAGTTCATGACATGCAGAATTCTGACTTTTTTAAATAAATTGAAAAATACTTGAAAAAATTGTTTAAGCATGTTTAAGTGTTCATAATGTTATAGATAATATACCATTGCACTTAGGAAAATGTATAGCAAAGTTGTACGTGGAAATTATTCATAGTTTTGACAATTAGATCAGAAAATTGTTCACATTTCAATAATTTACTTTTCTCAAAATCAAATTCCTCGAAGAGATCTGCAAAAAATTTGCAGAAATTCATATTAAACCGTATAATTCATCGATCTTCATCGATATATGTACGTAGGACACAATAACTAAATAAATAATAATTATTTGTCACATTTTATGACATTTACTTGATCCTACTTATGTTGAAAAAATACGTCTAAAAATGTTATGTAATATAGATTAAATACTTATGTACCGATATAAATTTGGTGTAATTTATAAACATAAAGTTTTATAAACACTACATATTCATGTTCATATATATATATATATAGAATATATCTTTTTACTGCTCACGATTATACAGACAATATATAAATTACAATTTTAGTTTTATTTAATGGATATTATACATTAAAAATCTCTTCGAATTATGACAATCCGCCATATCGGCGCACCTAAGTTAGAATTGCCCGAGTACAGGACACCATGTTGTACCACACTTAAGAATGACAGCACAAACTTAGTTTCACACATTGCCATTGGCAAACTTTGATTTTTAATAATTTACCAGTAGTTCAGTACACAATCGTAGTCACGTCACTATTAAGTTTGGTTTCGTTTTCATTTTTCAAACTATATAATAATTGTACATAGTATTATAGAAACACAGTTGCATCATTAAATAGAAATAATTTTTTCAGTTTTGAAACTTTAAAAAATTTTGTATAAATGATATTTCTAACAAATATTTTTGTATGCACTTTAAGTTATTAATTGTAACAGACAATAATATAGTTCACATCTTTTTGTTAGGTACTCTTTTTATCTTCATCGCCATTCTGTGGTCCTCCAGTGTATTCTAGTTCACTTACATAAAACACATAAACATCAAGTATGCACAGGTACCTACCAATGAAAGCTTAGTGAATTGCTTGCCCATTTGGAATTGGTTATGAGTTATTATTACATCTAAAAACTGTTCGATTAATTCACGAAATTTGTCACCAGTTCAAAGTTTTCAAAAGTCATGTTAGTGCGATATTTTGATGCCTTAATTACGGATTCAACAAACAAATTTTCTTATCTCTTTATTACATTTCTAATTTCTACAAGAACACTATCAACGGATGATAAGATTTTCTTGATGAAAATGTGACTAACCAAGATATTGATTGAACAACGTGTGTCAGTAACATGTTACGCACATAATTTACAGCTGTTCAAATACGCTGAACTATGAGAGATTTTTTTTCTACGCATCAATTATTATACGTATAAATATTGTCTCAATATGTCAGATTATTAGAAACTTTTTCGAAAATTTGTATCGGATAGAAGAAAACCTTTTTATCCTGTTACATTGATCGAAATTAAAAAAATACTCGCAACTAAAAATGAAATTAATGCAAAATAAGAGATTTTCGAAGTACGAAAACGATTGCTTTTTAATCGTTACTGCATTCTCGTAGAGTGTACGGAGTCAGGCAAATTCTAATGAGCACCACTGTGAGTAGCAGTAAGTAAGGATTCCCCTTCTATTTTGCGGATGCCTACAGTTATGCTTCTTAGTGTGTGTGTATGTTCCAACTTATGCATTAAAATACATGCTGTACAAAAATTGGAAGACCGCAGTAAATTAAACCGAATTGAATTATTTTATATCATATAGATTGGATATGAAAAACTACAACAATGGTCACAAACAAAGTACCCTCAGGTTAGTTGTTTAACAAATATTTAATATTGAATATATCACGTATAAGTGTAAATAGGACCTGCTCCATTCTTGTTGCTGAATATTTTCTTAGAGTAGAAATTTTTCTGCACAATAATATAATTATATCAATCTATCCAAGAAAAAGTGAAACGAAATATTTTTAAAAATATTATCGTTGAATGTATTTAATTATCTATGACGCAAGCTATACTATTACGGATACGGTAATAAGAAATGTTTAGATAACGTTACGCACAAATTTATCCATGTTTATACTAAATTGTATCTTCTCGGATTGGTAAACAATATTTCAACATTATGAATTATAAACAAATCGTATATGAATATTTAAGTCAGAATAAATGAACAGGCATATAAATTATAAATAATCTTTTTCCACCTTTGATTAAAAAAATGTGAAAGGGTCTTTTCACACGTACAACTGTGAATTGGGTTTCGATGAGCGCATCAGCAGCACTGTGCCCTCCAAATCTGGGGGAGTAGCGCCGCTCGCGGGAATAGCCCACCAGCGGAGCGGTACTCGCTCTGCCCGTTCTGTGCGCCAACGAAATATCTTCGTCTAGACTGAAATATTTTCCGGGCACCGAACCTACAAAGTAAGTGCTAAATTTCTCTTCTTTCTCAGTAGTGTACCATTTATACTTTGGCTATTAATGTTTTCAATCTATTCGGCAAACAGCTCATTTGTTTCTGATTTCTTGCTTCTTTAGATTTTACGTTTTACAATCTGTTATACATATGTATATAGTATATATATATATACGCACACACATACATATATATGTATATATATGCATATAACAGGTTTATGCACGTATATGCATATACGTGTATGTATATAATGTGTATACATGCATGCTATGTGCCTACATACGTCTTACGAGCGCGTATGTATGTGCGTGGCTGCTGTGTGAGTGTATATATTTATTACGTGTGTATACCTTGTGTATATATATATATGTGTGTGTGCGCGCGCGCGTATGTGTAAATACGTACCTATCTCTATATATATCATCTAAATTATATTGTTGTACTTTATATGTCGAACATATTCCTGTATACATGTACAGAATTACAGATATGTATATATATATATATATATATATATATATGTGGTACGTACATTTGTATACACGTACGTAATATGAAAATATATGCCCCTAAGCAGTATATGCAAGAAATGTTTCTACGTATGTACTCCAATACATACGCTAATATTTCATGTATACATATGTAACATACAGGCCAGAGAAATTTTCTTTAATTGTGTTTGCATAGCATTTTTAGTTGGAGGACACACACACACACACAGACGTGTAAGCGACAGTGAATACGTGTGCATGTATGTGGAAAAATGATTTCTAAAAGTATAAATTACATGTGTTTGTTGCAATTGTTCCAATCATTCTCATTGGTATTATTATACACCTTTTTATGCATAGATTCGTTTGGTATTATA